GCCCATGATTCAGAACGACTTTCTGTAAATGGGGCTTCCTTCATCCCTCACATTCAAAAAGTGGTTAGAGTGCATCCTAAAACTGTCAAGGAGTTTACTTGCATTTGCCTTATGGTAACGCCTGTTCGGAAGATACAGATGAACACGCAGATGGAAGAGGTGGATAGGCCAAGGTGTGGGGAAAAGGACGTGCAGCTCATATGACTTTGTGTGCTGCGCCACCCTTCAGGACCCTACACCCATGCGTTGATCTGAACACCCTTTCACCCTGTCCTGTTGAGTTTTTATGGAGGCTCCATTATGTAGGCAGGCTTGATTACATCCTGGGTGATGGTGATCAGTTGAGACTTCAGTCCCTCTCCCTTCCCTGGAGGTGGATAGCAGGAGTGTGTTACAACTGCCTCTCCTGCCTGAGGCTTTCTGGGGAGAAGCCTCTTCGTGAAGCTCTCTAGGGGGCTTTGGCACCTGTCTTCTCACTAGCATAGAAATCCTTCTTAGTTCTCCAGGTATTCCAGGTGAGCTCCACATCAGCAGACAGATACCAAATGTGTATTTACAGCCTCACAGTGCAGCACTTCTCACTTGAATCAGTTGCATGCTTACACCTCTCTTCCCTTCTCATTTCATTTCAGTTTACTTCTTTGCAATAATGGGGTTGAACCTAGGTCCCCTCTGCCATTACATCCCTACTCCTATGTTCTTCATTTTCAGAGAGGATCTTGCTATGTTTCCCAATCCCACCTCCAATTTACAATGTTCCCACCTCAGCCTGGGGATAGCTGGGATACAAGCATGTACCACCATGTCTGGGTTCTGTGGTTCACATTTTGCATGAAGATTGTAACTGTCCCCAGTGCCCCATTGTGAAGTCTGTTTTAATTTCAGGGTCTGCTGACGTTCAGGGATGTGGCCATTGAATTCTCCCAGGAGGAGTGGAAGTTCCTGGTCCCTGCTCAGAGGGCTTTGTACAGGGACGTGATGCTGGAGACCTACAGGAACCTGGTCTACCTGGGTGAGCTTGACTTCCCCTGATGCTGGGATCTGCTCTGTGTATCGTAGCATTTCCCTTTTGTCTTTGGGATTCTCTACATTGACTGATTGAAGTCCTGTTGCCTTTGAAAGACGCTCCACAGTACATCCTCTGTAGTTTGTTCCCTTTCTTCAGATGTTCTGCCCCCTTCATGATACTGCAGTGGTGCTTCCAGAGCTGAAGCACAACATAAAGCCCACAGCCGACTCTTAAAATATCCAGTTCTACCCAGATGCAGTGGCACATGCCTACAATCCCAGTGAATTGGTTTGCTGAGGTACAAGGATCAGGACAATCACAAAATATCCAGTTCCCCGTTTTCTATTTCTGTGCTTTTGATTCAGTGGTTCTTGGAAGAGAGGTAGATACCTACATGATATAGTGAAATATTTTCTGTATCCCTCTGTAATGTCCTCTTTCTCATGCTGGATTGTGGAGAAGCCACAGTGCATCAGCTTCTTTTCTCTTTACAAGCAGGAATATGTCCTTCAGACCTGAGTGTCCTCTGCTGGTTGGAGCTAGGGAGGGAGCCCTGGACTGTGAATGGCCCAGAGGAAATATCCAGGCCTGCAAATGAGTGGGCGTGTGTGGAGGGTGTGAAAGCAGGTAAGAGCTCACATTGTCAGAGAGGCAGCTGCCCACTAAGTAGTGTTGGGGTGCTTTGGCAGTGGGAGGGGTCAGGGCTAAGGTGAAGTGCATTTCCTGGGCTTTACATGCAAGGAATTTGGTTTCAAGCTCCACTTTCTCCTTTTCCTCCTCTGCTCCTTCTCCCTTTTCTCCCTCCTCTAATCTTTATGTATACATGATGATGACATCCAGTTTGGTATCTTTACATAGTAATGTAACATGATTTTGTTAAATTCATTTCATTTTTCCTCTCATTCCTCACTCCCACCCCATCTTCTCTGTATCTTTATGGTATCCAGTCACTTCCTCAACTGCCTTTTCTCATTTATTATGGACTAGTTTCTATATATGAGAGCAACAGTTTAACCCTTAATTTTTGATTCTGGCTTATTTTACCTCTTTCAATGTTTCTTTCCTACTACCCCACCAAGGAATTCCTTTTAATGTCAACGCAAACATTTCTCATAAATATGAACATGATCTTATAGATTCTTTATCATTTGTAGAAGAACCGGAAACAAACATTCCTCCAGCTCCTTACAAATGTAATGAGCTTGAAAAATCCTTTAATCAAGAATCACACCGTCCTATACATCAGACAATCTGTACTGGAGAGAAACGATTTACTTGTGAAATATGTAGCAAAGTCTTCAATAAAAAATCTTATCTTATAAGTCATCTTAGAATTCATACTGGAGAGAAACCTTACAAGTGTAATGATTGTGGGAAGATGTTCAGTAGAAGTTCACACCTTGGAAAACATCGGAG